GAGTATCAAATCTGTTTTGTGAATAAAAGATCTCTTTAACTTCAATGGCGGTGGAGATGAGACTTTGAGTAATCAGTGTCAAATTGATTGATTCCCCTTCTTTGTTATGAAATGGAGACATCCCATATTTTCTTAGTGACTAAAAGCAGAGACAAGAGAAGTGGGGATAAACTGTGAGGCCCCATTAGAGAGTAGGCATACATGTCTCGGCCTTTTGGCTAAGATCAAGTGTAGTATCTGTTCTTATCAGTTTAATATCTGATGTGTAGGCCATCGGCCTGTTCGATATTAATCTTATTTTTTATGGAAAAGACTCATTACAATAGCTTGTTATTAGGGTCTTTGTGAGTGGTCTTGGCTCACCCCTTCAATCTGATGTTAAGAAAGTTGCTATTGCATTTTATATCCAGAAGCATCATTTAGCATATGGAGTTCCAACAGCATCTTTTCTTAGAGGATCATTGAAGCCAAATAGCCAATGGAGGTGGTACCTTTCAAATCAAGTATTTGTTTAAGCTATGTTGGTACATCAATAATATGAAGACTACTCTAACTAGAATTTACAGCATTTGGCATACTGAGATGGCATCGTGAATAGAATAGAATCTGCAAAACGGAAGATATGTACGGAACCATATGAATAAAATTTAAAGCATAAGATTGACTGATTGGTGCTGATAATTAATCTCAAAAGCATCATGATCTTATAGATGTAACATGCAGATCAAAAACAACAATGCTACTAATTTTTGAACGAAAAAAGAAGCAAACATATAGAAGATGTTGAACCAGTTGTACAAGTTTTGAATCCTACTGTGCAAAGTTTTCAAGCAGAAAGGAAAGAAAAGAGGTGGATGCACAGATTTGCATGTACATCAAGCCTTTCGTAGATAGAATCAGTTCTCGTCTACCATCAAGAAAACAACTTTGTTTTTAAAAAACATTCAACTTAATCAATCAAGGATTTGGGACTCACAATGTTGTTTAGCTAAAACCTGCTAAACTGGCTTTGCAGAAATTTTCAAATAGATAATATAACACCTTAAGAATGGAAAGGGTTTCATATGCTAGCTGAAAGAAGTTCATTTAGATGGCTCCCACATTGCTTGAAGAACAAAAAATAGAGAGTGGGGATTCACCATAAAAACCAAGGCCCAAGATGATAAAACTCATACCTTTCTCGGCCTTTTGGCTAAGATCAAGTGTAGTATCTGTTCTTATCAGTTTAATATCTGATATGT